TCCAAACGGCATACGTACATATTCGTAATGACCGTTGTCAATGAATAAAACAGTTTTTTCTGTACTGTCTTTGTAAAGGGATATTTGTAAGAAGCCAGAAGTTAAATCTAAGGTGGAGTAATAAGAATATTTTCCTAAGGAATCTAAACCGTCTTCAATTCGGGGTAAAGGGTATTTGTCTTCTATTGTCTTTTTGTTTAATTCACGGAAGTCAATGGCCATGCGCCATTTCTTTTTTCCTAAGGCATCCATCTTTTTTGGAACTATCCAAACAGGGGAAGCGTAAGGAGAAATAGAAGGTTTAATTACACCATCATTGAGTAATTTTTTAACTTGGTTTTGAATTTCGTCTTCAAGTTTTTGGGGGTAACGGAAATTCTTTTGGTAAACGGGAGAAACGTCTGTTGTCCTGATGTGATATGTTATCTGTGTGGTCGCAATTAACTTTTTTTGGTAGTCGCTAAAAATTGATTTAAATTCCTTGCAATGTTTTGTAATTTTATTTTTTTCTTCGTTGTTCATATGATCTAATCTGAGTTGTTTTATTACGTCGCAATTAATATTGTCATCAATCGGGGCTTTGTCTGAGTAAACGTATTTATCAAGGGTATCTACATCCATAGGCTCATCGATGTGAATGTTATTGAGACATTGCACATCAGCAAAACCGTTATCTACATTATAGATACCTGGTACAATTTGTTCATGGTCAAGTATAACACAAGATCCTTTGTGTAAATTAACTGGGATTTTGCAAGTGATGTTTGTTAGAATTTTATCTCTTGTCTCGTGAAATTGTATCTGTGTGTCTTCGGTAGTCAATGTATTGTTAGAATAATTTATTATTGCATTCATTTTAGTCAAGTCAGCATGACTAATTAATGAGTCGAATGTTGTATGAAAGTCAAAAACTGAAAATTCAATGTAGGTAAGTGTAATGTACAATTTGTACTGTCCTTTAGTCTGTCCGTGGGCCGTTTTAACTTCGAAGGGTTCTTCGTATAAATAATCAGAAAAATATTTGAAAGCTAAAGAAGAGTTCATGATAGAGTCTGAAGCTCCGCTATCTATTAAAATTTTACAGTCGTATTCGTTTGAGTAAATGTAGGGTAGTCTGGGTGTTTTTACTAAAGCATTGTTAATTTCTTCTAAGTCTATGTAATTTTGTCTTTCGAGGCCTGTGTATGAAAATTTTCATTTCCATTTTCATTTTGGTCGATGGTATTTTCATCTAATTGTGAGTCAGTACAATCGTCAGGTTCATAGAACGTATCGGTATCTATGATCGGTATCAAGAGGTTGGACGGGTAGGTAAGCATTTCCGTATTCGTCATAAACATATGGGTCTTGTTCAACGTTTGTTAGTTCTTCAACAAGGAAATTGGGTCGTTGTTGATTTTGGAAATTGTTAGGTCTTGATTGATTTGGATGATTATTTGGTCGTCTAAATTGAGAGACGGTTCTCATTGAAACGTCGCCAGCATTAGGTCTTTGGTAATTGTTTCGAGGAGTATTCCTGTGCTGTTGTTGGAATACCGGGTGAGGCTTAGGCGCAATGAAAGGTTTGAAGGGAGTATTTCTGTTTAATAAAGGAAATTGTTGTCTAGGAATTTTTTGAAAAGTTTGAGGGTTGGTAAAGGGTTGTCTTTGCATTGGATTGAAATTTTGTCGAGGTGCAAAGTAATTTGTTTGTGGATGTTGTTTTTGTGTAGGAGTGTTGTGTGGGTGTGGCTTTTTAGAAGTACCTGCCATTTGCCCATATATTTCCAATTTCTTGTTTTGATTGTCTAATTCTTTGCAATAATTGAGTGCCTGAGATAATGAAAGGGGTCGTCTTATTTTTAAATCTGAATAATAGGGTTCACCGTCAGATAATTTAAAAATATTAAGTGCCCCTTTCTTATAGTGACTCATTAATGCATTCTGGAATGGGTCACCTTCAAAAACACCTGCTAATTGAGTTAAAATTACCTGAATTTTGTCATAAAAATCTTCAACTGATTCGTTAGGTTTTCTAACGCAACAAATTAATTGATTAAATAATAAATCTTCATTTTCTAGAGATTTAAATTTTGTTGTGATTAAAGCTTTTAATGTAGACCAATCACTTGGCCTTTCACTAAATATGCAGATTCTGCTCTGCCTGTTAGTTTACTAACAATGTGTCGAAATTTCAAATTTCTATAGGCCGGAGTTGTGGTAGAGATATTTGGGTCAAAATTATCACAATCCGAAATGAACCTATCCACTTTTTCGGGAGAACCATCAAATGGAGCGATGATTTCACCAAAAGCTTTGATTAATTTCAAAAATTCGTCGAGTGATGCCATGCCGTGCAATAATTAAAATGGAAAAGGGGAAAACAACATAAAAACAGGAGTTACAGCAATTGTACTCACGTTTTAAAATCCTCCAAATACTCCTGATCCTTTAGTGGAACGTTTCGTCAGGAATTGTCCAGTCGAAGGTGAAGGACTTTTCAGATGATGAAATGATATTCCAGGGGTCAGAAGTCTTTTCCAGGGGTCAGAAGTCTTTTCCAGGGGTGTTGGTTCCTGATGTGGATAGAAACGTCGCAAAAATTGAAACTCTGAGGTGTTTGGGATGAAATTTGTAGATTTCCACCTTCTCTATCCAGTTCCGGGCAGCGCCAGTTAAAACGTACAATGTTCGAATGGAGTTTTAAAAACACTTTGTTTTAACATTTATTTGGTTCGGTTTTCAGGAACCTAGATTACACTTTATTATCTTAATTATTACACACTATTGATGGCAAATGAACAAGTTACATAGGTTTGACCTATAAAGTAGACTGTTGAATGAATGAGAAAATTATAACATTATACTCGACGTCATGGGCTACTTTAGACCCACAGTTAAAACGTACGATGTTCGAATGGAGTTTTAAAAACACTTTGTTTTAACACATTTATTTGGTTCGGTTTTCAGGAACCTGGATTACACTTTATCTTAATTATTACACACTATTGATGGCAAATGAACAAGTTACATAGGTTTGACCTATAAAGTAGACTGTTGAATGAATGAGAAAATTATGAGCTTATATACTAATTGGATGTGTCATGGCCGGTGGTATAATTCATAGGTAGGGGCAAAGGTTGCTGGATGTAACTCCACTTCAGTTTACGATCATGAGATTTTCGATTGTGATAGATACGTAGTTCTTATAACATGTTCAGTCATCTAATGGACCTTACCGCGAGTGCATTTTCTTCGGCTGATCCATAAGTTAATACTAAACTTAAACAATAACATTACCCAAAAGAGCAGTTGATTCCGACCTACTCAAGGTGAATTTTGCTACGATCAGCTGGAAATCGTAATTAATTTGCGGTAATGCAGGGCCGGCATCAAAACTGTTATAATTTTATAATTTTTTATTTTGTTTCAAAAGTCAAAAGTGTTATAACATTTTATGTTCCAAATGTCCGTAGGAATCTGTGGTATAAATATTAATTATTATAACTGGGACACCCTATATAACCCACATTCCTGCGGTTGTAGGATTGGATAAACTAGCCACTTCGTTACATTGTAATGTACACAACATAACGGAAATTAAAGTTATTGCGTTTTTTTGTACAAATAATAATCGTGGATACCTTCTACTTAAACAGATTTATTAAAAAATGAAATGTATAACTTAAAACGTGGTGACAGACCAAAAAAAGTAACATTCAATAACCTAAAAGTAAACAGTATAGAGTAACTACATAAAGCAATATATAACTAGATAATTGACAAGGGAACTAAAATAAAAAATCATAGAACATACTTAAAAGAAAGAATCAGTTAAATTATGAAAACTAATTTCTTGTTAGTTACTGTTAAATGTGTAATGTAAAGAATGCCTTTATGGCAAGTAATTTCCTTTTCATTATCAGATGTTCCGCTCGAAAGCGTCCTGGACGCAGCAGCATTGTCGATCGTCAAAATAATATTGGTGTCTGAGTCGGCTGGCACTTGGTGAAACATGTTTGGATTATAACAAAAACTCGACAAATCTAAGAAAACACTTGCTATTGTAGTGTATACTACAGATACTTCTTACAAATGATTCAATTACCGAAAAAATTTGCAGTTTTTAATAAATTCATTTATGAAGCTAGAATACCAAGTGTTTTCTTAAATTTACTGACATTCTCTAAATGTCGCACTTGCCTTTTTTTTATGTGAACTACTACTATTCAGAACATTGTAAACGGGAAAGAGAAAATTGTAACATCCTAAAATGCATTTCAATTGCACAGGGCGAAAGAATACGTCGTTGATCAAATGTTTTTAGGAAAAAAGTATTGAGATTCGTGGCGTAAGTAATCTTTAACTTGGTAACCTTATCTTACTTCTTAATACAGCATCTGTAAGTATATTTAGTAACCTGTAGGGGTGCTAATATAAAAAATATATTAATGTTACGACCTACAGAAATCAATACATGAAACGAGTAGCTTACTGATTCCACTAAGACTGTTGTTACACAACTATTTACAGTACCCTCAAACTGAATTGAGCTGTTTACTGGTGGTGTGAGTCTGAAGCTGAAATTTACTCATCGTGTAATCATTTTGTCTTGTGTATAAAACGCACCAAACGTGATCCCGTTTTTATTAAGATCACTTTCTACTTCATTTCTATGTATTTTTGTTATTTTTACTTAAGAAATATTTTTCTTTATAAGTGGTCATTTGTAGTACTCAGAAAAAAAAGTTTTTGTACTACTTTTTAATGTTTATTACTCTTATTCTTTCATACTACCTAGATGAAGCTACAATTTGACATGTAACAATCTATCTTCAAGAAGAAACAAACCATTTTCTACTTGAAAATAGGTTGTTATATGAAAAATTGTAACTTCATCATTTAAGAAAATTGAAAAATTTAAAACAAAACTAATCCTATTTAAATTCCCCGCCTTTTTTATCTAATGTCAACCTTTGATAATAGATGACGCAGAAACTCGAATATTTCATCTAACGGCCAAACCACCCTTTGTAGATCTATTATCTATGGGCCAAACTCATTAGAGAATGTAAGCTGTAAGCTATAGTCATAGATAATAGATCTACAAAGGGTAATAGTGGCTATAGTGATATCTATGGAGAATGGTTAAGGAATCGTAGAAAATTGAGGCACGTTTCTAATTATTGGGAATATTAACAATTTAGGATAGTTGATAGTAACCTGAAAGCATCCTAGGTCCTTATACATTGAAATACCTATAATGGCTGATGAAATTGTCGAAAAAATATCAAAAAAGTGAGTTAAATACACAGTGTGAGCTTGTAAAATGTTGGATTAATTTATTTCATGTAATATGTTACGATTACTACAGAAATCTGGTATTGGTAACAAGATTATCTATTTATCGCGAAGTTTAAAAAGGTATGTCCGTTCAAATAAAAATTTAATTAATTGTACTTTATTTGCTTTTAGTGAACTGAAGCGAAGACTTAAAGCCGAAAATAAGAGCAAAGAAAAAGCTGAAAAGAGTAACGAAAGTGGTCAAAGATCCTTAAAAGGTCTTCCTAAATCTGAAGATGAAAACATTTCACCAAATGAGTATTTCCGACTTAGAATGCAGATGATATCTAAATTAAAAGATGTAGGTGGAGATCAGCATCCCTATCCTCATAAGTTTCATGTTTCTATTTCATTAGAAGACTTTATAGCCAAATATACTAGTTTACAAGTCGGAGAAATTGTTGAAAATGGCATTGAAAGCCTTGCTGGTCGTATTCATTCTATCCGAGCATCAGGTGCTAAGTTAATTTTCTATGATCTTCGTGGAGAGGGTGTAAAACTGCAAGTTATGGCAACATTAAATTATTATGAACCACAAGAGAATTTCTCAGATGATATTGAAAAAATCAGAAGAGGTGATATAGTTGGTATTACAGGATTACCTGCCAAAACAAAGAAGGGTGAATTGTCAATAATCCCAAAGAAAATAAAGCTACTTTCACCTTGTCTGCATATGTTGCCACATTTACACTATGGTTTAAAAGACAAAGAAACAAGGTTTAGGCAAAGATACTTAGATATAATTATTAATTCAAATGTGAGAAACATTTTTCAGACAAGGGCAAAAATTATTGCTTACATCAGAAGGTTCTTTGATGAGTTGGGATTTCTTGAAATTGAAACACCAATGATGAATGTAATAGCTGGAGGTGCAGCTGCAAAACCTTTTATAACATACCATAATGATTTGAATTTGAAATTGTATATGCGAGTTGCACCTGAATTGTATCATAAAATGTTAGTTGTTGGAGGGTTTGATAGAGTATATGAAATTGGTCGCCAATTTAGGAACAAAGGTATAGATTTAACTCATAATCCTGAATTTACAACATGTGAGTTTTATATGGCATATGCTGATTACAATGATGTAATGACTATTACTGAAAAATTACTTTCTGGATTGGTATACAGTATTTGTGGATCATATAAAATCAAGTATCACCCAGATGGGTTGGAAGGTGATGAAGTGGAAATTGACTTTACACCTCCTTTTAAAAGAATATCTATGCTTCCAACTATAGAAAAAGCACTAAATGTTAAACTTCCTGCTCCAGATCAATTATCAACTTCTGAATCTACCAAATTTTTAAGTGATTTATGTAACCAGCACGAAGTGGAATGTGCTTTGCCAAGAACATCAGCAAGACTACTAGATAAATTAGTAGGTAAATTTATTGAAGAATTTTGTATTAACCCAACATTTATTATTGACCATCCGCAAGTAATGAGTCCTCTGGCTAAATGGCATCGTTCTTCATGTGGACTAACTGAGAGATTTGAATTGTTTGTAATGAAAAAGGAAATATGCAATGCGTACACCGAATTAAATGATCCAGTTGTTCAAAGGGAAAGGTTTGAACAGCAAGCTAAGGATAAGGCATGTGGCGATGATGAAGCTCAGTTAATTGATGAAAACTTTTGTACTGCATTAGAATATGGTTTGCCTCCAACAGGTGGATGGGGTTTGGGGATCGATAGATTAACTATGTTTCTAACTGATAACAACAACATAAAGGTAATGTGAAAGCAGTATATTCTTGATTGTATATTTTTATAAAAAGAAAAAAAAAACAAAAGTCATGTACTTCATGGAGTGAATGTCAAAGTTACTAAGTATAATATTTCTGTTTTTATTAATGTCATAATTAAATCAATTTGAACAATACATAGATATGGTTGCATCTTTGTAAATACTTTTTAATTCTCAACTTTTTTTTATAAAAGTTTCTGCTATTTTTAATAATAAAACGTACTTTACACTGTTACACAAATATTTTATTTTGTGCCAAAACATGTATATGACTGACAAATTAATAAGTCTGATCATGTCATTATATGTTTTGGATCATGCAGGACTTTTTTTTTATATATACATATCATATATGTTACAATCATTGCTTACAATTTTTTTTTTCTGTCATAAGGTTTGATATAAAAAAGCAACGTGGCATTATTGAATTTTAAGAATATTATAGTACATAGAGTTACATATTTTTGGAATTTGTGATTATAATTTTTATTTTTTTTGTTTTCAGGAAGTATTGCTATTCCCTGCAATGAAGCCTGATGATCAAAATAAAAAAGAAACAACTTTTGCTGATTTAAATGGAGGTACTTGCAGCAATTGAAATGTTACTGTAATGGAAATACATTTCTTATTAAAATTTGTCTTGAATCTTGTCACTAATAAACTGTTTTTAATATTTCTTTTCATAATTAAACAACGGTTACAAAAAAAAAACAAAATTCATTTTATCATGGGCATATTCATATACCTACTCAACCTACTTCAAGATAATATCGAAAATATTAATAATAAAAACGAAATAAGTGGTTAATGAATGGCTCTTTGAAAATTCACATTAAATAATGAGCTTTTCAAACTTTTTTATGACTAACGCCTTCTTTTTCTCTTTTCTCAATTACATATACGTGCTATGTACTTACTTTAAAAAAGTCTTTTTATATATTTTTAAATACAGTGTAAAAACGTTACACTATGTCTAGTTTAAAGCTGAAATGTTAGTTGCAGAAAAAACACAATAAAATTGTTATATTAGTTATTGAGCAGGAGAACTAAAGCTACGAATTTCAAGTATTAAAGAAGCGTCTTATTATATTGAATATGAAACACAACGTGAAGATGTGTCTTATTACAAATACACCTCCCGTCTGAGAATTATTTTCCAAATTGTTAAAATTAACTTTTCTTGACTTGTGTGGCTTCATCATTGCGAACATGTTAATTTTAGATATTTTGTTGTAGTTTATAACACGTAAAAAGATGAACTAATCGTTTAAAGTAAGGCAATCTCCTAACCGGTAGGTAACAGTACGAGTGTCCGGGCGATACGCATTCGCATCCTACAGGCAACTCGACATGTATCCAAAAAACGAACATGCGCAACACAAAAAAGAAAAGAATATCTACAAAGATAAAGGAACGCAAAATACGCATTTAAATCTAATAACGAAAATAAAAACTAAAACCAAACATACCGCCGCCCTTGAAAGGCTGGACTTTTAACTTAATCTAATTTGTTATCATGCTTCGTGTCGAAGGGCAGTATATAAATTTTTGTCACCGCCCTTTTGTGCACTATACCTGACGGGACTTTCACGTTCACAACCCGCTATCGTCACATCTGGATGGGTCTTGATGACACGATCGAGCTGCCACTGAAGAGGGGGTGTAGTATTTTCCTTCAAAAGCACCATCGTGTTGTGGGGAATGTGTTGAGGGTTCTGGAACATCAAGTTAGTCCTGTTTTGTAGGTGGGATAAATACTCTTTGGACCATCGGGACCAGAAATGCCGTTGCATTTGTTGTAAGCGTTTATAAAGGGAAAGTCTATTGATAATTATATTTTTAATATCCTCTTCGGGAATAGGTGACAATACATCTTCTATGAGGAAGTGTGAAGGAGTGAGGACAAGGTAGTCGTTTGGGTCTGAGGAAAGGGGTTAAAAGTGTCCCCAACCCGCTAAAATGCGGAGCGCGCGGGAGTATGAAATGTTACGTGATAAAATTCTTACTTAAATACGTCATAAACGCCTATCATCACTAGAATTAAATAACGTTTTGAAAATCTCTTTTAATTGATTATTCACGTCGACAAACGACAAGCCATTATCATAGTAAAAATGTTGAATGATACCTCTACGTGAGATAAACCTTTTCAAAGTATTCAAGAAAGATTCCTTTGTTAAATTCACTGTCAGATCCAAATGCATAGCACGTGTTACAAAATACACAAATACTTCTACATAGACTTTCATCAACTTATACTTTCTTAATTTAGTGTCTTTGATTAAAAATGAACCAGCGAAATCTACGCCACTGGTCCTGAAAGGCCGAGCTGCTCTCAATCGCACTTCGGAAAGATCGCCCATTGGTTGAACTACAGTCACTGGCTTGACTTTAAAACACTTAACGCAATTCCGTAGAACACTTCTTACCGTAGCTCCTTCATTTAACACCCAATATTTATTTCGAAGATTTGCTAAGATTTGGTCCTGCGTGAAGAAGTCGATATGTTAACCGCGTATTATTAACCATTGTTGATCGTTCTCCCACCAGTACTTTGTCAGGAGTGGTTTCAACAGAATTGTAGTTTGGAGAACGACCAAATTTGAAGAAATTTCGAGTCTGGCTGCAAGGCGTACCTTCCCATACAGCACATGAATATCCATGGGATGTTAAAAAAACATCCATCTTGGATTTTAAGGATATCTTAAACAGATCCGTTTCATGTTCGGCGGACGTCTTCAGGATGTAGTATGGATAGACGAATGTCACAGTTTCGTATATTCATAAAACATCCACAAAGGACGTTTGAAAAACATACGAACGGGACATTTTAGGAATGATATATATGTATTGTATATAATGCATATATATATTTGTTATCATATTTTTTGATGGAATAGGCTGTCTCTTTATACAAACGCATATAAATCTCAACCTAAGTTTATTGCATACAAACAAAAAAATATCTTATTTGAACATTATGAATAAATACAAGGCATTACAATAAGGAATTTCCTTTATTTTTTGTGATTAATCGTTCTTTTGCTCTTCGTAAATAATTTTTAATCGCTTCTTCTAGATCCTTGCTTGAACAACTAGATGTTGCCTGATTTAATCCAGCAGCATCTGTGGAATAGAAAAGAAACATATTAATAGTTTTTTAAAAAATATTAGTATGTAACTTATGATTAATCATACCTATCTAAATTTACTTAATGAAAACTTATAATCTTATTTTATTAATTAGTAACTTACTTATTATCAGTCTAGATAGATGGAGATGACTAAAAACTTCCTTCTTTTTGGCACCTAACCAACTATATTTTACGGAAATATCGTCCGACAAAATTTTTGTAAACACCCTCTTTACAAATTCGTAGGGAGTATGTCCGCCAATTCTTGCAATTTTTTGTGCCTAAAAATATTAACTGCAAGTATTTCTACCTAAAACTAATTAAGCAAATTTACCGATAATTTGAAGTTTACTTCGTTTTCGAGAAATTTTTCAACTCTGACCAAATCTTCTTCTGTTTGTATTGGCATTTGAAAGTTTTGAAAAAATACCTGTTGATGGATGGAGTCTTTTGAAGACTGGCAATTTATTTGTTTGACATCGTCAATTAACTCCATTATAGTCGATTATAAAATATTTTGCTTCCTGATTATTTGTGTCAAATCATTAATTACATTGTGTTGCGAACAGCAAGTACAAGTTAAATCTAAAAAAGAATAGGTAGGATGCTGAAGTATCCTGAATTAATATTAAATGTTTTAAAAATATTAACTGAAAACGGAATGTAGTTAAAGAAATGTATTTATTTTGTATGTACACGTAGGTACCTGCACTCATAAAAGAAACATCGTTGTTTCTCCATAAAACCTTTCATCCCCCAAATTCACCCTTACATCGTTTTAATTTTATGTAATGTCGTCGTCTTAGATTTTACCCCCCTTTGGAGGTTGAATTTTTTAAAATGTCGAGATAGGTCTTTCAGAAATTAAATGAGAGACCATTAACACCAAGTTTCAAGTAAATCTGACGACAAATACTATTTGTTCCATTTAAACATTGCAACTACTCTTCACCACTTCTCCCCCCCATGGGAACGGAATAAAAAGTATTCTATGTCCGTCTCCTGGTTCTAGGCTACCTCCCCATCAATTTTCAGCCAAATCGGTTCAGCCGTTCTTGAGTTATAAATAGTGTAACTAACACGATTTTCTTATATATATATATAGATTACGGTCGCAAAAATTGTATCAAATAGTTTGAATTTCTCATCCACATGTTTTGATTGAGTAGGAGTGTTGAAATGAGCAAACAAAACCTTGTAGGAATCTTTATTACCGATATGTCATCTGATTAATGAGTCATTAATGTAATTAATTGCCGCTAAGTGTGATACTTAAGCCTAAAACTTTTTGCTGTTACTGCACTATTCCCAGCCAATCTCGTATCGCTCTTCATTCGTGTATCCCTTCTACTACTTGAGTGCGATAAATTGTTCGTTATTTATTTATTTCTGTAGTTTTTTAAAACATTTGTAAGAAGGGATTCCAAGTTAACATTGTATTTCTAGTTAGCCTTGCCGGTATCCTGTATAGTACAATATGTATAAGAGCCGCAAAAACGCGAACTTTGAAATTAAATATCTCTGAAACTATATTGTCCAATAATTTCAGTCTGCACATATAGGTGAAGAATAACTTAAATAATATTCTGTCAAAATTTCAAAAGAATCCTAAGAAAACGCTTTTCATGGAACAACTACCTTAAATGCAACAAGATGTTAAATATACTTAAAAATGTAGGGATGAGTTACAAAGATAGAAGAGTGATACTTAGTTTGTATAAGGAGCAACTGGCAGTTATAGAGCTAGGGCTGCAACGTAGAGAAGTAAATATTAGGAAGGGAGTCAGACAGGGATGCACACTGTCACCGCTACTTTTTAATCTATACATCGAAGACGCGATCAACATCATTAAAGACAGTACAACTGTAGGGATAGATATACAGGGGCAAAAGATTAGTATGCTTAGATTTGCAGATGATATAACAAGGAGGAATTAGAAATAGCTTTAAATAAAATGGAAGCGGTACTGACAGGTCAGTACTGTATGAATATAAATAAAAGTAAAACTAAAATACTGGTATGCAAGGAAGGAAAAATAGATAAAAATTAGATATCTAGGAAGTCAGATAAGTCAGGACGGAAGGAGTAGTAGGGATATAAAGCAGAGGATAGCGCAGGGTCGTGTCGCCTTAATAAAAAGAAGTCACTTCTATGCTCGCGAACGATTAATTTAGAAATTCGAAAATGGTTGTTAAAGGTGTATGTTTGGAGCGCGGCGTTGTACGGGTGCGAAACATGGACAGTGGGCGCGGTGGAAAAGAAAAGGTTGGAAGCTTTCGAAATGTGGTGTTATAGGCGAATGATGAGGATAAAGTGGGTAGAAAAGGTTAGAAATGAAGAGGTATTAGAAAGAATAGGAGAACAGAAGACTCTACGGAAGTCAATAAAAAAAAGACGAAATAGCTTGGTAGGACACCTTCTCAGACATGAAGGTCTAGTCAGACCCATATTAGAGGCAGAAACAGGAGTTAGGAGGGGTAGAGGCAGATCGAGGTTAGATGACTGTTCACAAATAGTTAAGGATGTGGGCTGTTCTAGTTCTAGGGAAATGCGAAGATTAGCTTAGGATAGGAATGAGTGGAGGTACGTGTCCAACCAGTCTTAGGACTGACGATGATGAAACGTAACTGAACGGGAAACTCCTGCCTTGTGTTTGATTGAACCTGCGCAGACTTTAACAACCTTCTTAGGCTGTGTTTTGTCGGCAAAAATATAGGATGTTTCTTGTAAAAAGGATATGACGAATTTCAAATGCGACCTCCTACTCGTAAAACATGCCTATCGTCCAAAAATGATTCCAAAGCTAAAATTTTGCTTGCTTTAGTTATTGGTTTAGAATTTTTTAAATACTTAATTTCACTATTAAATTCACGTTCTTGCATTAACTTTATTACTTTGACTGATGAAGTATCGAGATCGGGTATCGTCAAGCATCCGCCAGTTTTATTTTCATTTTCAACAGTAACCTTGTTTATGAATCTTAAACAATAGCTAAATACGCGTACTAGTTTGTAAAATGATGAAAACTTATGGATTATGTCTAGGTTCTTTTCCGTCATGTTAAATGTGAATTGCTTCACTTTTCGTTTTTCGAGAATTTCAAGTTGTGAACAATCGAGTGGGGTCGGTCACAAGCTTTCAACTTTCATTAAAAATTCCGGACTTCACCACCATCGATGACAAATTTTCAATAATTCAGGATAAAGTTTGAGTTAATAAATCGGCTGGGTTCAGTGCTGAACTCACTTGGCACTAGCACTCTACTTTTGTGCAATCTTCAATAACCGTGATACGATTAGCTATAAACGTTTTGAAACTATTCGGTTCTGCTAGAGTCCGACTATAAATAAGTTTTTGAAAATTCTATATTTAGCGAGGCTTTTATCCTTTTTATCAAACATGCTAGCAGAACAGCGCTACACAATTCCAAACGAGGTAAAGAAATTGTTTTTAATGGCGCTACCTTAGATTTTGAGCATAACAGTTTCAAGAAATGAGAAGAGTCGCAAAAGTCATGCAACTGAAATAGTTATTTGTCTCGGGGTACTTATTTCGTTTATAAATTGTTTTTTCGAGAAATTTAACCGAAATCGTATGTATATTAATTGGCACCGATTCATCCCAGTCTATTGTGGCTCGCTTGTAGTAAGATTTTAGCGATTATAGTCACCGGCACTAAAAGCCCCAACGCGTCGAAAATTGTCGCTACCAACGAAAATATCGAACACTTTAAAACGGTATTCCGAATTTGATTATGATTTATACTATATTGCAATGTATCCAACTGCAAGTTCCACAAGAGTCCCACCATACGAGAATTTTATTCGTTATTTATGTAATACTCTACACGTTTGTTATTAGGTTCGTCCAAATCACGTAAAATATTTTCATTGATCGATTTCCACTTACACAATTTGAATCCTGCACTACTTAAGGTATTTGAAATTTCACGCTTTAAATGTTTCGAGTCTCGCGGATGCCGTACCGTACGTTACTGTGTTGAATCTAAAATGTTTTATTTCATTGGTCTTATTTGTTCTGTAAATCACGATGAATCTTTTCCACATTTACCTGACGATACATTTTACTAATATCCGCGGTAACTGCGCAATCGTACTGTCTAAATCTTAAAATAATAACCAACAAATCGTCCTGTATTACGAGTCCTATCTTTAAATATCGTTTAACGAAACATTCGTATCAGTTTTTCAAATCGTTAATGAATGACATGTCCGAGTGCTTCATATTCCGCCATAAAATCTCAATAATTTTTTTTAAACCTATGTGTAATGAATTTTATAACGAACGCCGGTATTATCACGTTTGAAGTTATTTATGAATTCCTGCTCACAATCACGCTCTTTTTTTGAGTAAGTTTCGCCAAAATCTATTTCCTTAATTTTCCAAAATTTCTCTAATTCTCTATGTAAAATTGTATCTTTTGTTGACAGAGTGCAAAATGAAACTTGTGATTTCTCAAGATTTGCCATATTTCCCGTGATCACTCAACCTAACTTAGAATTGGGTTTTCTTTGCCGTTGTTCATCTAATCTACACAAAGTAATTTCCAAAAAACGTCTACCCCTAATGGTTCTATGGGTCCCGGTTCATTGAAATTAGAATCTGCAATAATTGTACTGTCTATCTTATCTAATTTCGATACATCAAAATGTGTTTGAGGAATTTGGTCGCTAATTTTATCAATTATTAAAAATGTTCTAGTAGCCGTGTAATTGTTGTGAACTGATTTTCTTGTGGTTTGTGTTTTATTTGAAATATATTCTATAGATTGATTTATACCGCTTACTGGTAAATTTATTTTTGCACTACTTAAATTCAGCGTTTTAAATAAATCGTACGTTATGAAATTCGACTGTGATCCGCAATCCAATGGTGCACGGCATTGTATTAAATTTCATTTGTTGTCGAACGCATAATGAATTACCGCAGATAAAATAGCTTGTTGTTTAGGTGTTTTCGTATGTGTAATGATTATAGCATTTTTTGTGTCTGCCGATTTTTCTGTGTCCTAGGCGGTATTGGCTTTTGTGTTCTTTTATCCCGGTCTTTATACTCCTTTTCGTAGTTCAAATGGAAACCTGACCACAACGGACCATTCCAACAGCGACGAACTTCCAATCTACCAGTTTCGCAGCCGACAGTTCTACAGCTGTATATTCTAATATATAAAATTCTCGTGTCGCGGTGTTTGTTGCCAAATTCATCCGAAACGGCTGGACCAATTTTTATGAAATTTTGTGTGCTTATCAGGTAAGTCTGAGAATTGGCCAACATTATTTGTCATACCCCTAAATGGTGGTCCACCCCAAATTTTTCTTTTTTTGGACAAAATTTTTTGTTTTTATTTTTTAATGATTCACCATTGAAAAATACATGCAATTCTAAATTTTAACCCTTATACGATCAACCCCTGATTTTTAATCCCGATTTTTATATTATTCTCTTCCATCCACAAGATGGCAATCGAATATAATAATTGTAGCATACTATAATTTTCATGTATATTTCTATCAACCAATCGTTTATCCCCGCAGATGTCTCCCGTTGTCACTTCTCAATCAGCAAACATCACGGAGTAGGGATGAGATCGAAGCCGGCTTCCTATCTCTCACTCTCTATACACTTTTCGTCCATTTTTTTTTTTGGTTTCATTTGTCTCGATCGTAGCAGTGAC